GGATTCCTGTACGCCTCCGCCCCAGGAACTGGAGCCAAGCGGGGAGCCCGGGCCCCGCGCCCAGGCCCGGACCATGCATGGCCACCGAGTCCCGGGGGGCCCTGGGCCTTCGGATCCCGAACGCTTGGCGGCGAATACCCCTGGCGCCGCTCCACTGGCCTGTGCCGACTCGGACCCTGGAGCCCTGGAACCCGGACTGCCGGTGCGCAGGGGCTCAGGCTCGGCTCTTGGAGGCCCTTTGGATCCGCAGTTTGTCGGACCCTCGGATGCCAGCCTGGGAGCTCCTCCAAGCTCCCGGGTCTTGCCCTGCGGCCCTAGTCCACAGCACCACCGGGCCCTGCGCTTCTCCTACCACCTGGAGGGCTCGCAGCCTCGGCCTGGTGAGTGATCCAGACAGCATGGGAACCTGGGCCACGGGCCTGGTACTGGGAACGGGGTCTTGTTCCAGGGCTTGGGGCCGACGTGCTCACCCTAGCCCCTTGGGTCCCCTCAAACGCTATTCCTCCCCCTCCGGCAGCCTTCAGCCCGGTTCTTTCAGCCTTTTGCTCCTTGCTCTTGTCTGTCCCTTGCGCCCTCAATCCATAAGACTCCTTTCTCTTCCAACTGCTGAGGCTAACAGGAGAGGAAGCACTCCCAAGGAAAGGGGCAGGATTTCAAGGCAGCAATGGGGATGTGGTTGGGGGAATAGGAGAAAAGAAGTCTCCCATTAGCTAAGTGCCTACATTGGTGCATGGCACTGAACTGGGTACTTTTACGAGGATTCTTGTTTCAGCTTCAGGAGCCATCCGAAGTGAATATCATCAACCACATTTTTAGGGGTGTAGATAGAGGCTCTGGGAAGTAACTTGTCCAAGGTCACACTGTCATTATGGAATCCGTGGTCTTTTTTGCTTCCCCAGACTGAAGCGGGAGAGTAATGCCAAGCTTTCTACTTAAGTGATTTCCCCCTTATATACTATTCAGTAGCCCTGAAGTATGAGAAAAAGAGAGAGAGGGAGATGGTGGGCTGACCCTAGACTGTGCTCTTGCTAGGTGTGTGTGGCCAGAGTACAAGGTGGGAGGGAGAAATAGGAGATACTGATGAGAGAGAAAGGTGGAGATGAGCCTGGAGGAGAGGACTGAAGGGGCAGGTAGGTAGAACAGAAAGGTCAGAAGGGAGAGCTGCAGGGCCAGCAGATTGTTGGGAAAGATAATCAGGATGGTTGGTGGCTTTGCAGTGGTGGGACAACTCTAGGTCAGGCTGGGGCCACAGACCTGGCTGGGCCCTTTCAGAGCCCTGAGTATCTGAGCAGCCCAGCAGAGAGAGCCTCTGGGATAGTCATTCTCACATGGGCCCGAGGCTAGGAGCCTTGAAGGAAGAGCAGTGCATACCTGCCCTGTCTTCCCTGCGACTGAGGGAGGTGCTGAGCGACTAGCTGTTTCCAGAGCTCCTCTCTCAGCTTCCACAGGTCACTAGGACTGTGGCTCAGGACCAGGTAACAATTAGTAAAGCATAAAACATGGGCAGGATGTGCCTCTCACTGCTGTCCCGTTGTTTGGATAGTTATGGAACCTCTGGGAGATTTCAACACCCCCCCCC